GAAGGTCACTTTCAAATCAGTAAATATGCATGGCTAGCTGGGGACACTGGAGGTAAGCTTGTGAAATTTGAGCAATCCAAAATAGAAAAAGTAAAAAATAATGAGACAGCGAGCGAGCGAGCGAGCGAGCGAGCGAGAGAGAGAGAGAGAGAGAGAGAAATACAGTAAATCTTGCTTACCAGTAATTCATATCCCTGAAGAAGGCAAAAGAATAACTGAAGCAGAAAAAAATTTTCAGGACGTTAAGGAAGAGTTTCCCACAATAAAAGAAGACTTGAAATTCTAGCATGGTTTTTAGTCTTTAAATATAAAGACTTTTATTGTTAGGTCAAAATGGAAAGAAATAATTAAGCCTCCTATAAAATAAAGAGGTTGGCCTCAGGCATTTCTATTCTAGAAGACGTGGAAAAAAATATGCAAGGTCAGTAGACCCTAAAATAAATAAATAAATAAATAAAAAGACCCAAGGATTTTATGTCCAGGCAAGCTATAGTTTAAGCATAATATCAGTTTTCATATATTTCCAAACAGAAAAACCATGAATTTGTTCCCATATAAGTCAGCCTTGGTGGGTGGTGTGGGTAGGAGTGGAGGGTTGTGGGGTAGAGAAGGAAGGTGATTATATTAGAAACTATTGAATCGAGATGAGTTGAAAACTAAAAAGGATTAGTGATTAGCATTGAATACATTTAAATGTGGAACTAACATTAAAATGTTACAAACTATGTCAATGTGGTAATAATAACATGAGGAAAAAAAACTGAGTTCAGGATGAGTAGGTACAAAAAAGGGAAATTTTCTCATTGTTCGTAACATGAGATCCATCATGATAATGCTAAGTATACAATTTTCTTAGTATGCTGTAAATAAATGTTATCTAAAGGACACAGACTATAAATCTTCCAAGAAAACAGGCTGTATAGTGAAATATTTAATAAAAAGATAGAATTGAAAGCTAAAAGTAATGCAAAAAAATAATAAAGTTAAGATGAAATATTTGCCATATAAATAAATATAAAATTATAAATTGGGTAAACTCATTTATTAAAAAAAATAGCACTCAGATTTGAGTGAAAAGTCAAGCCCATTAAGAGCTGCTATCTAAAAAGGGACCAACAAATACTATTTTGGTAAATATTTTAGGCTTTGCAGACATAAAATATCTGTTGCAACTACTCAGCTCTACTGTTAAAGCATGAAATCAGGCATAGACAACATTTAAATGAATGAACAGGACAGCATTCCAATAAACTTTTATTTACAAAAACAATCTGGGTCAAATTTGTCCTGTAAGCCAGTTTTCTGACCCATGATTAGAAACAGTGACTCAGAAAACTTGAGTAAAAAGGATGGGCAAAGACTTAAGAGGCAAATTCAAACCAAAAAATGTCAATCCAGATACTTGTGTCAGACAGGGTTGACTTCAAGAGAAAAACCATCAATTGAATTTCATTTCCTGATCATAAAGGGTAATTAGTCTAGTGGTCATGAATCTCATATGTCAAATAATACAACTTTAAAATTTATAAAACAAAAATATAAGGAGAAACAGACAAATCAGATTACACTAGGGAATTTTGATTCCTCTCTTTCAATTCTTGATAGAGCAATCAGACAGAATAAGTAATAACATAGTGGAAGTTAATAGCTTGATATATGATGTAGCAAACAACATACCCTGGAAACAATATTCTTTTTCAAGAATGCTGATTAGGCTCCAAGAAAATCTCAGTCAAATCCACAAAGCAGAGATATATGCATATTATGCTCCTTATTCTTAACTAGAACTAAAAGGAAAACATAAAACTCCACTATCTGAAAAAATTAAATAACTCTTGGGTCAAAGGAGAAATTAAAAAATCAATTCCAAGTCAACTAGAAAGTACTGGTAATCAAAAGTCTGTGTGTAGTAATACCTTGGTTTGCGAGCATAATTCGTTCTGGAAATAAACTACTCATATTGCAAGACATCACTTGTTTACTAAGTTAAAATGTATTAGAAAAGTTTGCTCGTCTTGCAGAACACTTGCAAACTACGTTACTCACAATCCAAGGTTTTACTGTATTAGTACTTATGGGATATTGCTAAAGCAGTACTCAGAGGAAAATTCATAGCTGTAACTAAATTACTAAGCAAGAAAAAGTGAAAATAAAAGAATTCAGCCCAAGAAGTTACCAAAATAATAAAATCAATGGAAAGAAACAGAAAGAAAATATTATCAAGGATAAAAACACAAGATTGATGAATTAGAAAACATACATGGAGGTACTAATAAATCCAAGAGATTTTTGGTTTTTTTTGTTTGTGTTTTTTTAGAGGATATTGGTAAAAATATGAAACAGATAAACCTCTGCTGAACCTATCATGAACAAAGGGAGAAAGCATACCACATATGCGTGTGAATACACACAGTATGAGAGTGACTCATATATTTAGGAAATTAAATATAAGAAGTCACATTGTTAAATTTTATGTAGATGAATCTGAAAACTTGATCCATGGCACAAAAAGCCCTAAGCCCAGGCAGCCTTCTGAGGAACATTATGACTGTAATGCTTTTTTAACTTGTTTAACAAGAACATAGAAAAAAGAAAGATTTTTGAAATGTGTTTTGAAGTATATTGATATTAAATTCTGACAAAACACACACACACACACAAAATAGACCATCCTCAAAATACAAACATCTTAAAACATTAGCAAGTATAACTCGGCAACACATTAAAAGATGTGTTAAAGGAATAATGACCAAGTTGCTTTCATCCCAGTACTGTAAGAAGAGTTCAATTAAAAGGATAAGTGATTAACACTGAATAAATTTAAATGTAGAACTAACATCAAAATGATACAAACTACTCGTATATCAGTGCTAAACACCATATTTTAAAAAGTACAAAAGAAAAAAATGATCATCTTCCCAGAAGCTGAAAAAGAATTTGATAAAATTAATAATTCTGACCTTTTTTAAAAAAAGAAGCAACTCTTAATAAATCAGGAATTACTTGATACTTCCTTAACATAACAGAAAATTCATCATAATAAAAATCAGCATTATTCCTCCCATCGACTCAAAACAGCCTCAGTCATTTAAAGTTGGGAGTAATAGTGGTCACCATTATTATTAACATTGTTCCAACAATTTTGGCCAATTCAAATAGGAAAAAAAAAAGTGTAAAATTGGAAAAAACGGGAGATCAACCTTGACAGATATGATTACATACCTGGAATATGTCAGAGTAAAGTAAACATGGCCCTTCATATCCCTCCAGCCCTGCCCTCAGACTTCTTTCTATGATTTATAAAATGTTACGGGTATAAATACATAGGCTGACTTTTTTCATAACGGAAATCAAATTGATTCTGTAAATTACTTTTTTAACTTACAGAAATCCAGCATATTTTTTCCCCCCGAAGTTCATGTAGATTTACTTGAACTAATTCATACAAGATTTGTGTTTGCCAGGTGGATGAGCAGGCTAAAGAGAAGGTAAAAATGAAACAGCACAGGTTTGCTTTGAAGTATTTCCTGTCCTGAATGTTCAGACCTTCAGGGCAGCTAAGTTTAGATTTTTAGTTCAACTTTTCTTCCTTGCACCTTAATAAATGAAAAGGAGACACTCTTATTTTTGTTTTACGTTTGTGTATGATTAGGTTTACTCAGTAATGAATGTGATTCTTATTAACTAAGCTCGTATTTTAGGTTTTTGGTTTTTTTTTTTTTTCCTACTTGAAATGCTTTTCAAGGGTAGTACAAATTCTTTATCATTGGTAGGTAGAATGTAGTAATAATAATTAACATTTACAATAATAACCCCCATTTGTTCAGTGCTTAACATGTACAAGGCAAGGTACTTAATATGTTGTATACTTTGTATCATTTGATCCATACAGCAACCTGTTGATAATACAGTTACTGTTATTATCCCTGTTTTGCAGATGAGAAAACTTAGGTTAAATGATTTGTTCAAGGTAACACGCATTGTAAGTGGCAGATTTTGGACTTGAGCAAACGTGTCTTTTGACTCCTCAAGCATTTATGTATCTTGTCACTTCACTGGCATAAAGAATTTCATAATGAGTTTTGTAAAGGAGAGAGTATTTCTTGAGTTTTTCTGTAGCTGGTATCTCAGCTGTTCCATCAGCTGTGTGGGTGACTTTAGGAGTGTGGAGAAAAAAGTGGGTTAGACCACATCAGATGTAAAAATGCTGACTTGACACATTAGTTGATTTAGTTTCATTGTAGACTATGTGATTTTATGATATATAAATGCTATTGCTGGGCTTTTTGTGTTTGAAGAGGCAGTGAGTATTGTGTGATTTCTTCCTCCCATTTTCTTATTACACCTCCAAAGACTCATAAGCCACGATGATTATTCTATTTAGTGTAATTGAAAGCTCCATGTGGTACAGAGCACTGAACTGAATGGTGGTAGTGTGGCCGGGCAACTGGTCTTTGGGCTCAAAACATTTATAGTTTGGATGGGATAAGTGTGGGGGAAGATGAAAGGGAAAATGACTTTTTTAAAAAACAGAAATTTGTTCTTTTTTGTATTTCATAGAAATATTTGTTACAGATTGCCAAATATTTGTCAACATAATCAAAAACTGTTGACTTTCTGAGGGAAGTTTTAGGTTTTGAGAGTTCATTCCATTGGCATTGTAAAGAGGTTTGGGTTCTGAAAATAGGCATAGCCTGCAACCACCAGTAATGAAATAAAAAGTCCTACTACCCTATGACATTTGTTTGGTGGAATACCCCCTAATTGCTTTGAGGTATTTAAAAAACTTAACCAGAGTAAAAGTTATTTAGTTCAATTTGGAGAGGTAAGATAACTTAGTGTTTAATAATGCCTCTTATTATTGAATTCAATATTGGGATGTTGGATTACAATAAAGAATCCATCCCATTAGAAGGGTGATATCCTGATAATTTGACTTCCCAGGTGAGCAATCTTTGCTTATTTCTATTTGTTAACTAGGCCTTTTGATATTTTTGTAGACAATCTGCTTCGTCTTGATTCTGCAGAATTCCAAACTCTGGTATCCTTGGGGGTCTCTTAACAGTGCTATGGTGCAGAAGATTTAAAATCAGGTATGGCTGTGGGGCCAGAAGTCCCTCAGTGAAATTCTCAACTTAAATCTGCCTTAACACTCTCTGATTTATCATTTGGGTCTCTTTTTTTTGTGTGTGTGTGTGGTGGTCTTTTTAGCTGATGTTCACAAGGAATAGAGTCACGTGATGTATGAAGGGAAACATATACACTTCTCTGAGGTTGACAATAAGCCCTTGTGCTCATATAGCCCCAAACTGTGCAAGCAGCGGCGACTCAACGGCTACGCTTTCTGTATCAGACACGTGCTGGAGGACAAGACTGCCCCCTTCAAGCAATGTGAATATGTGGCCAAGTATAACAGCCAACGCTGCACCAACCCCATCCCCAAATCAGAGGATCGTAGGTAAGAGCTAATAATGGGACTCAATCTTTGATTTAAGTAGTAGGCTTGGGTTTTTTCTTTTAATATGGTGAATTTAAATGTTACATTCTGGGAGTAATCTAAGTAAACTCTGGAATGCTTCTAAAAATGAGAGATGGCATTTAAAAAAAAAATGGAGTAGTAAACTTGGGGAAGTATTTGAAAAGTATGTTAGAGTGTTTCCTTTTTTTTATTGACTTAATAGACTTTCTAAGATTATTAAAAAATTTGTTTTTCTCTTGAAATTGTTGCTTGAAGTCTTGGTACTGACATGTTTGGTTTGCAGCCTTATAAAGTGTTTCTAACTTCTGTTAGTTTTGTCATCTGCCTAAATGAGAAAAATTATAGGAACTGCTTAGGTGTTATAATTAATGCTAATAAGTTTGGAGTTTTTAAATCTGAGCTTGAAAGGTAGCAAAGGGTATGTACTTATTGAAAAATAATTATTGAAAATAATGATTACTTGAATCATTCAGAAGATTTACTTCCTATCAGACTTGTAAGCAGGGTTTGGCATTGTTGTTATAATCTTGCCTGTTGGTTAAAAAGAGTCCATGTAGAGTATGTTTATTATAAATTAGAAACTGTTATTTCATAGTAAGGGTAGGCTTTATCACTAGAATTGTGAATTTATGCTTTGCTGAATTAAATAAAATGGGGAGGTGTTTTTAAAGGAGTCTTATGCATGTTATCATTTTTCATATTCTTAGGAAAATTCACATTATATTTCACATATAATCTCTTTTCTATGTCTGTCCTTCAGTTCTCCAGAACCCATGTTGAACATTGTAGGCTATTAAAGAGAGACACATGCTTATTTTGTAAAAAGTTTCAAATATTTGTTATATTTAGGTAGAAAATTTGAATTTTTTACTTCTATCTTTAAAAAACATGCAGTCTTCAATTCACCCTTGTTACTATGCATAAGCAAATGCCACCTCCATAAATTGGTTGAAAAGGAATCATGTATTTTATCTATCACGGTGAGCAATTTTTACACTTTTAGGATGAAATAAATTATTTGTGTTGATAGAGGTTCCACCAAAATGAGTATAGTATAATGTGGTGATTTGGGAATACTCTTAGAATTTCTAATAAGCCCTTAAAGCTTCAAATTACAATACCTGAAAGTTAGGAACAGCTGCTTGGTGAGGCAAGGAATAAAATTTTAATCTCAGGTGAGAAAGGGACCACTGTATTAGGCTAAGCATATCTGTCCAGTTGGTTTTAACAGACTGAAAATGATAATTTCTTATCCCTACCCTTTTTAAACTTGAAGAATGGATGAACTTGGATTAATTTTTTACATTGAGCTCCACTGTAAACACATCTCTAATATTGTTTTAAATTCAGTTTATCACAGTTGCAGTTGTCAACCTTGGATATTTTTCATTGCAGCTGAAGCAAGTATTATATAGTGAACAGCAAGAAGTAAAGTGAGAGTCACTCTGAATTTGTCTGAAATATTAATTCTGTGAAGCATATGTCTTCACTTTTATATTCTAAGCAATTTCCTCTTTTTAGAACAAGATAAAAAGGGAAAGGACTTTTGTGTTGCTATGTGAAGAGAAGCTATATGTAATAAGTACTAGGTTATATATTGTTTTCAAAATTGGTCTGAGACTATATGAATGCAAATGGTACTAATATTTTTATTGTTTGTAGAGTTGTTTGAAAATAGACTAAAATAGACGTTAGCTGAAGGTAATATTCTTATGTTACCTCAAGAAATCCAGGTTGAATTCATGTAATAATCTGTCTAAACCTGTGCATAAATATTGAGTTGTAATTATACTACATGACATACTGTAGAAAAGAGTCTTTTGAAAATATGCTTTTGTTATTGTTAATGCAGTTACTCTTTGGACACTTAAGGATTAGAGATGGCTTATGTATTGTTTTAGAAAAAACAATTTCCAAGGACCTTTAATCGACAAAATTACCTGGTTGGTGGTCAGCTAAAGGAAGCTCCTTAATATCTGGTGTTTAGCTTATCTGGTTTGTATTAATAAATGCTAACTTATGGTATTCTACTTTTTTGAAATAGAATAGCGTTATGTTCAGTAGAAGTACTGGTATAATTAAAAAGTAAAGTTCATTTTCTAACACACTTTTACAGTGAGAAGCTAAGGATCATTACTGTAGCCTTTGTTTCTAAGAGATAAGTGATTATATCAAGTTGCTTATTTTATATAATATTTTAAATTTAAGTTTCTATAATTTTATGTATATTTTTAGTAGTACATATATCTTTGACAAGAAATTTTCTTGTTATCTGTATGTTTATTTTTAAAGCAGTTTAAGATATAATTCACACACCATACAATTCACCCATCTGAAGTGTACAATTCAGTAGTTTTTAGTATATTCACAGGATTGTGCAACTATCACCACAGTCTAATTTTACAACATTTTCATTCCCCCCAAAAGAACCCTATAGCAGTTCCTACCCTGGATAGTTATTCTTTTAGACTAGAAATTCATATTTGCATACTTATTTTAAATTCTGGTCATAATTAAGGAAGCTGTTTTAATTCTAGTTGTGAAGAAGTTTCCGTTAGAGCAGAGGCAAGGTTTTTAGGAGTTCAGACTACGTTGTGATAGTGCTTTCAGGGTGGCTGGTGTGGGTGAAGGAGGGCCGTGTGTGTATGCAGGCAGCCCTGCCATCTTCCGTAAGGAAGCACACAGGAGCCTCACTGACCAGCTCAGGCTGTCCACATGGACACGAGCGGAAAAGTCTGATTTCTAATTTAAAAAAAAAAATCCAATCTCATTTCCCCCCACTAAAAAACTAATCCTTTTGTTAATTTGAAAATGAGTTGAAAACGACAACAAAAACCATTTACTCTTTATTGGGAAGCTTCTTGGTTAGTAGTTATCCCTGAAGCCCTTTCTCTTATTGGCCACAGCTTTATGACTCTATTCTGTTTTAGGTATAGATGGGACTCGGCTCAAACCTACTAGGTGTACACACACACACACACACACACACACACACACACACACACAAACACAGAATAGATTCTCTTTACTGTCCAGAAAGCTTTTTTCTTAATAGTCCTGTTGAAAATTAAAGAGCGCCTCTGATAGATTTATTTCTAAGACAAACCAAATAATTTCTCCCGATAATTTGGTGTATCTGTATTTTAACAATTAGTAAAAAAATTTTTTTGCTGCATCTCAGTTAGTTTGAGGATTAGCATTAATTATTTACTTTATTGTCTTTTTCCTAAACGGTATTCTGTGGAGCTAATCACAGGTGTGCTGCAATAAAAATAGGTGCCACTTTCAAATAAGTTTGGGAAACACTGCCAGATGGGTACATTTCCACCTGGGGGCATAATGCACTTTGTCATACAAAATGCTTTGAGAAGTTATTCTGCAGAAACAAACAATAAAATCACTATCTAATTCTGTTTAAGCCATAATTTCCCAAATTTATTTAAGCATGGAACACTGTTTTTAGGGCTTACTGGTTATACTGTGGGACTGCATGAGGAATCCCAGTTTGGAAAACACTGCGTTTCTACTGGTTAAAAACTTCCATGTGGTTATATAACATGCATTCTACTTTCTCATTAGATAGAAGGAGTCTATCCTTTCATAGCAGTTCTTTGGCATTTACATTACGAAAGTAACCTGCTCATTGTTGAAGACTAAGAGTCTTCATGAGCTTTGATTTTTAGTTCAGGTCTTAGCTCTGTCACTTTCCAGATGGATGATTTTAGGCAAGCTATTTAATTTCTATAAAGTTGAGTGTCTTATCTGTATAAAGGGCATAATTTTAGTGCCTACTGTAGGTAGAGACTAGAGGGGATGGTCCATGTCCTTGTATCTGGCTGTTGAGGAACTCATTTAATCTATAATCCCACTAACTAGTTTTATTACTTTACTTTCTCCTACCTTTCTATTCTTTCTCTCNTCCTTGTATCTGGCTGTTGAGGAACTCATTTAATCTATAATCCCACTAACTAGTTTTATTACTTTACTTTCTCCTACCTTTCTATTCTCTCTCTCTCTCTCTCTCTCTCTCTCTCTCTCTCTCTCTCTCTCTCTCTCTCTCTCTCATACAGTGGGCACTTGACATTCTTAAGGCTTATGTCATAAGATCTTTGTGAATCTCCAAATACTTTAATGGCATTGAAGCATATATATTTTTTTCAATAAGAGAATTTTAAGTGTCTCTTGATGAGTTGCATTGTTTTCAATGAATAGAGAATAACAAAGCAGCATGAGAAGCAATAGCTGGGCGGTTATCCAGGGCCACTCACTATGTGAATGACTTGCTTCTGTCTGGCAACCTCTGCACATGTGCAATTCACATATTTGCTTCAGCAAAATTGCATGGACTTTCAGGATTGCTTGACAGTAGTGAAAGTTGCATATATTAAATCCATGAATGCCAAGAGTTACTATAGTCATGCATGTCTAACACATGAGGATTCCTGTTTTATCATATGTAGTTTTTATTCTGCTTTTCTTAATATGTATCATGACCATTTCCCCATGTATGTGTGTGTTTTTAAAGGTACTGCAACAGCCACTTGCAGGTACTTGGCTTTATCCCGAAAAAAGAGAGGAAGAAAAAGAATGATCCTCTAGATGAGGTAAAGGTCAGGCACCAGATGGATACCATGGCCTTTAGCCTGACGGTGCCCACGCTGGCCTTGAAGATGCCCAATGGACTGGATGGAATGTCCCTCTCTCCACCGGGGGCCAGGGTCCCTCTCCACTACCTGGAAACTGAGTTGGAAGACCCGTTTGCTTTCAACGAGGAAGATGATGACCTGAAGAAAGGGGCAACTGTGAGAAAGAAGTTGCAGAGCAAGTTGGCCCAGAACCGGCAGCGCCAGAGAGAGACAGAGATTTTAAAAGTTCGACAAGAGCACTTTAGTCCCCCTCCTGCACCTTCACAGCAGCAGCCTCCGCAGCAGCACTCCCACCTGTCACCTTTGTCCACTTCTTTAAAACCTTCAGCGCCACCGCAGGGTCTAGTCTGCAAGTCACCTCAACCTCAGAACACCAGCCTACCAATGCAGGGAGTGGCCCCCACCACACACACTATAGCACAAGCAAGGCAGTTGTCTCACAAGAGGCCTCTGCCCCTCCTGCCATCCAGTAGGGCTCCTGCCGTGGACCCACCCAGGACTGACCGGGTCCTTATGAAAGCCACAGCCTTCTCTCCACACTTCTCTTGTATAAGTCGACTGCAGAGACTGGTGAAACTGTGCACCCAGAAACATCAGTTGGACACTGATCTGTTTCCCCATTTAGGTGAGTTATCATCTATTTTGCCATATCATGTGTGTGCAGTGCAACAAAATGTGCCCTTCTGCACGAGGCTTTCTTTTAATCACTACCACACAGGTGATAGGGGTAGAAGAACACTCAGACAGTGTGTTCCAGTGAAAGATTCTGCATGTAGGTAGAGCACCTTAAAGTAAATATGCTGCTGGAGAGATAACAATTGATGAACACGATACAGAAATAGGTGCTGGGAATGTAGAATTCAAGTCAGAGCCTCTGGTAGTAAGAGGAGTAATAATAGTAGCAGCAGCAGCAATATCAAAAAGTAGTTGTATGCCTCTCTGAGCTCAGTTACCTGTGTGTCTTAAGTTCTCTACGTGTCTTATCGTAGGACTTTGGAATAATGATAGCATTGTTAATATCTGCCAACAGTTTTTTGCTTTTTTTAAAAAAACAGTTTTAAAAAAAAAAAACTCCCGAAGCAATACCTGTTCATGACTTAAAAGTGAAAAACTACAGATAAAACTTTAATACAGTCAAATGTCTATCTTTCCTTTGTTGCTTCTGAATTTTCTTTTTTGTTCAAGAAAATCTCTGGGATCCCAAGTTTATTCAGATACCCTATATGGTTATATTAAGAGTTTGACTGTTTTGTTTTTGATCACTTAAACTTAATTCATTTGGAATTTATTCTTGAATGTGGTGTGAGCTGTGATTCTGACTTTAGGAAAAATTATTAGTATGACACATGACAGCAATAGAAAAGTGAGAAAAGGTTGGAAATAGAGGATGGAGAAATATAGTCAATAAACAAATGAAGCCCTGAATCCCCACAGCAGGCAGGGACATGCAAATTAAAATAACAGTGAATTAGCATCAGATTGGCAAAAATTACATCCAGTGTTGATGAGGCTATGGGATACATTGCTGTTGAGTAATGTGACGGTTTCTATTAATTAAAAGTATATGTATAACTGGCAAACTCACCTGTAGGACTCTAATGCGCATGAAAGTAATCAGAATGTGAGGATACATGTTCAAGGATGTTTATTACAGCATTGCTTGCAACATTAAAAATATGTAAACAATTTTTTTTTTTAAAGATTTTTATTGAGGAATTGGGGGGATGGGAACAGTGCTGGGGAATTGGGGGAAGGGGAACAGACAAGTTGCTGTCGTTTTGTTCTTCAATCTAGTTGTGGAGGACGTTGCTTCACTGGCCCAAGTTGGCACCATCATTGCGCTCTTCCCAGGCCAGGCAGATCAGTCGCCGGCTTCTGGACGGCTGCTCACTGCAGCTGCTGGCCGCTCACTCTGGCTGCCATCCACACACGGTAGCCCATGGCAACCCACTGCCACATGGGCTGCAGCCTACACCGTCGCCGGCGACTCACGGCAGCCCAGCTCCAGGTTGAGCTGTTGTTCAGCATCTTAGCTGTGGAGGGCAGTGTCACTGGCCCTCATATGTGGGATCCGAACCGGGGCCCTCTGGCGTCCCAAGCCAGTTCTTAACCATCGCACCACTTGGCCGGCCCCAACAATTTTTATAACCAATAGTAAATTATTGTACATGTATGTTTTATGAAGTATTATGTAGCTACTAAAAAGAATGAATGAAATCTATCTTTTACCTGGTTGTACCCATGATATATTAACTAGTAGAAAAAGATCAAGAGGTATTGTATTATCTTATTTTTGTAAAAATGAACTACATAAACAAGGGACATCAGTGTATCTATTGATCAAGTATGTGGATAGATGTTTGCCTGTTAGGTATGAGCATAGGTAAAGTGCTAGTGGATATACACCACCAGGCTGTTAACACTGGCTACCACACAGGGATGGAATTAGACAGGATGTGTTTTTAAGGAGATGGGAGTGGTAACTCTTCTTACATAGCTTTACATTGTTTCACCTTTTATTACACCATGTATCACTTTTGTAATTAAAAAAAACAAATAAAACTTTTAAAATATAGATAAATGAAAATAATAAATTAAAACACCCAAACCTTATTAGTACACATTTATTAATACCTGGGTATATTCTTTCAACCATATAAAATTGGGTTCTTGCTATACATAGTTTTGTAGACTTTAAAAATTTTTCATAATGTAGTATTAGTAATTTTTCATACGCAACATAATTTGTTGCGTATGAAAACACAGCATAGCTGGATACTTTTTTCTAATTTAAGTCATTTCCAGTTTGTATAATTGTACAGTGTTGTAGCTGTATAGCCTTGCAGTAGAATAATTACTTTCACATCTTTAATTTTTCTTTCAGATAGATTCCTAGAAGCAGAATGTCTAATTCCAAGCTTTTCATTTTTTAAAATGGTTTTTGATATGTGTTGCGAAATTTTTCTTCAGAATTATTTTGTGAGTTTACCCTTCTTTCAGCAGTGTATGAGAGTGACAGCTTTTTCTACATCTTTACAGCCATAGGTATTAGATGATGATATTATTATTATTATTATTATTATTATTGTTATTTTACCTTTGCAAATTTGATAGAAATTTTGCTTTAATTTGCATACCTTAGATCTGAGTGTTTCTCAAATTTTTGGCCTTAGAATCCCTTTACAGTCTTAAAAATTACTGAGGACACCATAGAGCGTGTATGTGAATTATATCTATTAACTACTGAATTAAAACTGAGAAATTTTTAAAATGCTAACTCATTTAAAAATAAAAACAAACTCACTACATGTTCTTTTTATGAAAAATAAATGTTTTCTAAAACAAATATAATGTGGTATTACAAATGCATTCTTCTGTATTGTTTTATAAATCTTAATGTCTGATTTACTAGAAGACTGCTAGATTCTCATATTTGCTTCTGCAGTCAATCTGTTGTGATACGTGGTTTGGGTTAGTAGATGAAAATATGGCCTTACATGTTTGTAGTTGGAAAAGGGAGGAATATTTTAATGGTTTTTTTCAAATAATTGTGGATATTCTTATTTGATTCTACACCAAACCTTGACAAGTGGGAGTTTCTTGAAGATTAGTTACAATCTGGAATCAGAAACCATATCAGGGAATTTTGCACATTGTTACATTAAAATCCATTGACCTACCTTGTACTTGGAATGGATCTTTTACCCATGCAAGGTTTTGTAACATCGTGTGTTGATCATTTGGAGAAAATACTGATTTACTGAGTTATACAGGTGTTCCAAATGTTGACATATTTAATTATATAAATTTTAAAATGACATTCATTAATATTACCACCAATCTCATCAGAAATGTCTATTAGGAAGTTATCATACTTTCAGTGATGAATTTGTTTTCAAAAAAATCGAGCTTTCAAGTAAAAATTTGAGTTTTATCATTGGCAACAAGTACTGTCCGTTGTTTTCCTTGAAGAGACGGTTCCACTGTGTTCATTTTAGAAAAAATGACTGCCAAATATCTAAGTCTTAACAACTATAGATTGTTGGTCATTCTTTCAAATAAAAATGATGTTGAATGAAAAAAAGCAGCTAGTTTAGGTCACGATTAAGTCATGCAAGTACTTTTCCTCAAGGCAACCATCACACTTGCTTTATGTGCAACAGAGGTGCTTTATGTGTACTTCACATTTAGTCACACAGAATATTATAAAGACATACTCAAGAACAGTCTTTAATAAACAAGTGCTTTATCAAGGACCTTCTTAAACTTTTGTTTTGTTTTGTTTTGATTTCACTGCAAGCCATGGTTGTGAAACATATAGTGACTACTAGTACAGTTCGGTGTCACTGCCTTGATTCATGCTGAGGTGCCAGCAGTTTTACCCATCATGCTTTTCTTTAACCATCAGTACAAATGTCAACACAGTGAAAAAGGCAAATAATGTCTTCTTAGTGTTATTTTGAAGGTAGTGTTGACCTAAGGAACTCCCCGAGAGGGTTTCAGGGACCCCTGGGGATCTGTGGACCATACTTTGAGAAAGAACTGCTATTTTGGATTCATAATGTATAATAGTTTTGAATATTTGTTCATATGCTGTTTTGGACATTTGTATTTCTTATTTATTTTGCCCTTTCAATTTTTCATTCATTTTTAATGAAGTGTTTCTCTTTTATAGTGATTGGTAAGTGCTTTTTATATGTATTTCATGTTAGTTGCAATGCCTCTCCACCCTCCCATTTGTTATTTGCTTTTAAATGTCTAGTCTAATGATTTTGGAATTTAGAAGTTAAAAATTTTTTTGTTGGGGAATTGGGGGGATGGGAACAGTGCTGGGGAATTGGGGGAAGGGGAACAGACAAGTTGGTGTTGTCTTGTGCTTCAGTCTAGTTGTGGAGGACGTTGCTTCACTGGCCCAAGTTGGCACCATCATTGCGCTCTTCCCGGGCGAGGCAGATCAGTCGCAGGCTTATGGACGGCTGTTCACTGCGGCTGCTGGCCGCTCACGCTGGCTGCTGGCTACGGTAGCCCATGGCAACCCACTGCAGCAGGGCTGCAGCCTACACTGTCGCCGGCGACTCACGGCAGCCCAGCTCCAGGTTGAGCTGTTGTTCAGCATCTTAGCTGTAGAGGGCAGTGTCACTGGCCCTCATATGTGGGATCCGAACTGGGGCCCTCTGGCGTCCCAAGCCAGCTGTTACCATCGCACCACTCAGCCGGCCCCTAGAAGTTAAAATTTTTTATGTATTCTCTTTTTTAAAGATTTCTTCCTTTTGAATCAGGTGTTTTTTGTTCTTTTAACCCATGTTTGGACTCTCTTCATACCAAGAATATATAATTATATTCATTTTCTTTTAGTCCTTTTAGTATTTACATTTGGGTCACCTATTTGGAACTCATTAGGCATTAGTTTTGAGGCAGAGATCTAATTTTTTTTTTTCTCCCAAATGTTTGCCTCTTATTCTACCATTTACCACTATCATCTAGTAGATTTTTATTTTTACTCCTAGAGGCTGATGCTTTTTTTAGCTTTTGAGTGTTGTGTTGAGGGCTGATTTTTCCGTTATTTTGAACAGGACAAAAACTTACAGAAAAACTATTGTCTTTTTATTTATTTATTTTTTGATTCAAGCATATTAGGGGCCCAAGTTTTCAAAACAAAGGTTGTTTTGGAGAAATCAGACATTGTAATGCACCATTATGACCAAGCATAGTCTGCATTCATACAAGCAAAGAGTACTTAAAGACAAATGCAGTCTTGTAATTAGCTTTTGTTCTCCTGTTTGGGCTGGTTATCTCACTTAGTTACATTAAAACTAGTGATAATGAACCCAAGATCAAAGGTTTGCTTTATTGGACAGTTAATTTCACAGGAGAAACACTTCCATTTTAGTTCTTATGACTTAGATCTTGACTTTTTCAGAGAAAGCTTAGTTGTCTTAGTAGAAATTATTATAACTTCTACAGATAACTCATGTTCTCATTTTTAAAAGTGCCTTAGGTGTCACTCTGTGTTTGAAAGACCTCACCTTTCAACATTTTGAAGCTGATGCTGTTGTGATCACTTAATTATTTTTACATAAAAAAAAAAAGAAAAGCCAACAAATTGCTAATTATTTTAGTTGGGAGAAAGTAACTTACTTTTTAAGGTGACCTCACATTTCGGGTAGTTATCTTGTAACTAGATTTGAGGTTTCTTTATGCCAGTGGCAATGTGTTATTTATTTATTTATTTATTTATTTATTTATTTATTTATTTAGCTGAGCCATCCTGCCACCTGTTGGCAGCTCAGCGGCAGCTCAGCTCAGGCCAGGCATCGAACCGCTGTTGCTCAGAGCTCAAACTGTTGAGCGAGCTCTTAACATGGCAATGTGTTATTTAATTTGAAGCATTTGCAATTTACATTTCAGTTAACTTTTTCTTAATTTCCCTATTTGGCACATGTAAACTCATTTAAAATATGGAAGAAATCTGTGAGCGCCTTCTTAATATAACTGCATCTAAGGATGTCAAGAAGGAAGACGTAGAATACTAGTTATCAAGGTCTCTAAATTTTTTAGTGGCAAGAGTATATTAAAGTTATGTAGTCCCACACACTGTCATATTTTAGGCTGTGCCACGTCAGTATCAAGACTGCTTCAAGATATAAAACTTTTGAAAAGGTAAAACCCTTCTGTTGGAAGCTAACAATTATCCAATTAAAAATAATAGCATTTAACAAAATCAGTAAGCATTGTTCATACTGTATTTCTCTACTTCTCCCTCGAAACTTGTTTTTCAAAACTGAACACAAAATGTGGCAGTTGTTGTTTAAAAGAATTAAAAGAAACTCCAAGCCACGTTAGAAATAGAGTTGCTACCCTACCCTTCCCTCTTCTTGTGGAGGGCGACAGCCAGAGAATAGCCCTGCCAGTGGATGGAGTCCTTTCCTCCAGAGGTGCTGGGAAAGGGGAATGGAGTGTCTACCTTTGGCAGTTTATTCTAGAGCCCTTCTTTGGTGAAGTATATGACTCCACTGACTCCTTTTGACTTTTTTCTTGCCCGAACTTATTTTTTCACTATCTTGAATACGTTTTATGTTTTTCTGATATTTTAGTGATGTTTTGATACTTAAGGAATTCTACCTTTTTTTTTTTGACTTGAACTCTCTTGTGTTGTTTCTGCTCCATTAGTGAAGTGTCTGACAAAAAAAGTTCATCCTTGGAATATAGATAGCCCTTTCTGTTCTAATGTCATTGTTTCAGACCTGAGTGTATGTTATTAATATCTTTGTTAGACATTGATTATTCATTATTAATATTGATATATTTGTTAGACAGGGATTAAACTTATCAGGAGGCATTTGTTCATGCTATGATGGTACTTGCTATAGGTTTTAGGTTACGTATTTTAGGTTGCTTTTTATTTAAATTTTAAATAAAAGTAAATTTTCTTACTTGAAATATCCTCTCATCTGTCCCAGGGTTGGACTGGTCTGAAGAAAGCGGAGAGGAACTGGAGGACTCAGAGCAGGCCTCGCCATACCAGGTTGCATGGTCCATCCGAGAAACCCTCAGATATGAAAGACACACGTAAGTCTTCCTTTTTGTTTTTATTCTCAATTAACCACTGTAGTAGATCGATTCTTTCCTATGTATGCAAACCTTTTAAAAAAATTTGTATTGGATCTAGTTTTATTGTAAAGGAGGTAAAATAGATTTCACTTGGGAAGAAATGTACTATATTTTTTGAGGAAAGTTAAGGTAGGTTAGAAATGTCCCCTCTTTCATTTCTCATTTTGACAATATGAGTCATCTCTTTCTTTTTGCTTAGTTGAACTTTAAGGGTTGTGAATTTTGTTGATCATTTCAAAGAACCAGTTTTTGGTTTCATTGATTTTTCTCTATTATACTTTTTCTATTATTTTTTCATTTATTTCTTCCCTAGTCTATTATTTAATTCCTTCTGCTTGTTTTGGGTTTAGTTTTCTCTTCCTCTGTTTCTTTAAGGTTTTATTGGGGAGTTGGGGGAGGGGAACAGTGTTAGGGAATTGGGGAAGGGGAACAGCCAAGTTGTTGTTCTTCAATTTTAGTTGTGGAGGGCACTGCAAGCTCAGCTCCAAGTTCAGTCATGCTGCTTAGCTCAAGGTGCTGTGTTCAGTTAGTTGCGGGTGGGTGTAGTCACCATCCCATGCCGGGGAGTCAAACCTGCAGCCTCTTGTTAAGAGCACATGCTCTATCCCCTGAGACATCCAGGTGGCAGCTCAGTTCAAGGTGTCAAGTTCAGTCTTAGTTGCGGGCAGATGTAGCTTAGTTGCAGGAGTCGAACCGGCAGCCTTGTTGTTAGGAGCAAGTGCTCTCACCAACTGAGCCATCCTGCCACCTGTTGGCAGCTCAGCAGCAGCTCAGCTCGGGCGCAGCTCACTGGGCCATGTGGGACTCGAACCAGTGACCCTGTTGCTCAGAGCTCGTGCTCTTAAGCTAACTCTTTTTTTTTTTTTAATTTTTTTTTATTGGGGAATTGGGGGAAGGGGAACAGACAAGTTGCTATTCTTTTGTTCTTCAGTCTAGTTGTGGAGGATGTTGCTTCACTGGCCCAAGTTGGCACCATCATTGTGCTCTTCCTGGGCGAGGCAGATCAGTCGCTGGCTTCTGGATGGCCGCTCATGCTGGCTGCTGGCTGCTCACGCTGGCTGCTGGCTACACATGGTAGCCCATGGCAACCCACCTGCTGGCGCCGGCGACTCATGGCAGCCCAGCTCCAGGTCGAGCTGTTGTTCAGCATCTTAGCTGTAGAGGGCAGCGTCACTGGCCCTCATATGTGGGATCCGAACTGGGGCCCTCTGCATCCCAAGCCGGCTCTTAACCAACGCGCTACTCTGCCGGCCCTCTTAAGCTAACTCTTAACCAACTGAGCCACTCGACCGGCCCTTCCTCTAGTTTCTTAAGGTTGAATGTTAGGTTATTGATGTGGTGTCTTTTAAAAAAAGGTGATTTAGCTATACATTTCTCGCTAGGCTTCATTGTGAGATAATAGAAAAAATATATTGGTCTCTCTCCCTAGTTCCTGACACAGAGCTCCTGAAACCCTTGTAAATTGCTACATTATAAGAACACAAGGAACATCTCGTGTTCTTATGAGGTGACTCTAGGTGGGCTCCTAGATAGCTTCTGGATGGGTGCTGGTCATCAGAAAGACTACGCCATGATTAGAAGTTTGGAATTTTTAGCTACAGAGAGGGATGAGGGGATGGAAATTCAATTAACAATTTCTCATGCCTATGTGAGGAAGCCTCCCTAAAATCCCAGTAGTATGGGGTTCTTGGTTGGTGTGTTCATGGAGGTGCTGGGTGACTGGTACACCCCTTCTCACATACCTTGCTCTATCCATCTCTTCCATTTGGATGTTCATCTGTATCCTTTAATAAACTGGTAAATGTAAGTAAGTTCCCTAAGTTCTGTGAGCTGCTCTAGTAAATTAATCCAGTCTAGGGAGCAGGTCTTGGGAACCTCCTATTTATTGCCAAATTGGGCAAAAGTTGTGGGTAACCTGGGGACCTACTACTTGCGATTGGCGGCTGAGGTAGGGAGGGAGCAGTCCTGTGGGACAGAGCCCTTAACCTGTGGGCTCTGACGCTATCTCCAGGCAGACGGTAGGATACCAACCTTATATTGCAGACAATTGCTTGGTGTGGTGTGAGGAAAATCCTCCACACATTTGGTGACTTGAAGTGAAGTGTTTTGGGTCAGTAGTAAATGAGACTCACAGGAAAGAAAAACAGTAGGGAAAAACTGGGCTTTTCCCTGTTCAGGAAGGAAAAATCTGAATTTTTCTTTTACATTCATCAATAAGCTATGGTATTTGTATTACATTTTCATGTATCTCAAAATATTTTCTAATTTCCTTTGTGATTTATATTTTGACTCATTGAGTATGTTGTTTAATTTACGTACATTAATGAGTTTCTCAACTTGCATATAGTTATTGATTTCTAATTTTCTCCTCAGTTGTCTTTAGAAACTTTGTAGGTTTAACTTTAGCTTTAACTTTTAGTAACCCATTTCAAATAAATTTTTGTGTGTGGTGTATTTGGGGTCAAGGTTCATTCCTTTGTATATATGGATATTTACTTATTTTAGTACTATTTGTTGAAAATATTGAGTTGTCGGAAAAGTCATGACACATTTTTGCAACGAAAAGCAGAAAAAATAAGTCATGACTTTTTTGTCAACCCAATATATTTCGTTTCCCATTCAAATGCCTTGACACTTTTGTCAAGAATTAATCAGCCATATAGATGTGAACCTATTTCTGAACTCTGTGCTGTCCCATTGATTAATTTTTAGGCTACTTCTAGACTCTCTGACTAGTTTTATAGTAAGTCTAGAAATTCAGTGGTTTGAATCCTACAACTTAGTTCTTTTTCATGATTTTTTTTTTTTTTAAATTGGGGAATTGAGGGATGGGAACAGCACTGGGGAATTGGTTGCTGTCCTTTTGTTCTGTCCTTTTGTTCTTTAGTCTAGTTGTGGAGGACTTCGCTTCACTGGCCCAAGTTGGCACCATCATTGCGCTCTTCCCGGGTGAGATCAGTCACCGGCTTCTGGATGGCCGCTCACTGCGGCTGCTGGCCACTCACGCTGGCTGCTGGCTACATACGGTAGCCCATGGGAACCCACAGCATCTTAGCTGTAGAGGGCAGTGTCACTGGCTCTCATGTGGGATCCGAACCGGGGCCCTCTGGCGTCCCAAGCCAACTCTTAACCAACGCGCCACTCGGCCGGGCCTTCTTGATTATTTTGACTATTCTAGGTACTTCTCATTTCCACAGAGATCTTATAATCAAATTGTCATTTTCTGCAAACTAGCCTATTATAATTTTGTTTTTTATTATAAATCAATTGGTGGAGAATTTATATCTTAGCAATAGTAAGTCATTCAATCCATGAATATGGGATACTGCTCTAGTTAAGGTCTTCAAAATTTTTTCTTAATGCTTAATTTTTTATATGAATGTCTGTTCATACTTTATTAAATTTTTTCTGAAGTATTTTTTTTTGATACTGGTGTAAACTGAATTGTTTCTGTAATTTTATTTTTCATTTGTTTGCTGCTTATGTAGAAATAAAGTTTATTGTTAGACTGATCTGCAGTCATTAACATACTTCAATTTTGATAAATTTACTTCTTAGTTCTAGGTGTTTTTTTTTTTAATTATGATTTTTTTTTTTTGCAAATAATCATGTCATCTATGAATACAGACTGTTTTACTCCTTCCCATCTTATGACTTCTATTGCTTTTTTCTGGCCTTACTGCATTGGCTAAGACCTTCAGTGAAATATTAAATAGAAATAATGGAGATGGGCATAATTGCCTTGTTTCCTTTCTTTTGGGTAAAATGTCCATGGAATTTTGGGTTAAAATAATTTTTATACATAGGTATTATGTTTATTTCCTTTTCAGATCTACACGACATTTCTGTTTGTCTTTTCTTGCTTTCTTATGTTTGTAAATCCATTCTTTAACATTTTATACATAACTATTTTATATTCAGTATCTCATAATGCCAACCTTTGGAGTCCTTGTAAGTCTAGGTCTGTCATTTATTATTTTCTTCTTGTCATGTAAAGTGATCTGCCTCCTCCTGTGCATGGCAATTTTGATTTTTTTTTTTAGGTCCTAGAATTATCCTAGAACTTTAGGTTGAGCTACTTCATCTTGTTGGGATGCGGTTTTGTATCTACTGTTAGTGCTTCTATCATCATGTGCCCTGAGTGCAGACCATTCCCCTCCCTCCACCCCCTTTGGTTCCTTGCTTCCGACTTTAATTTCAATTCTGATTTTTTAAAAAATGTTTGTTTGTTGACCAAGCAGTTTGGGGAAGAGATTTCCTCTACTTGGAGACCAAAAATGCATCCATAAGTATATCTTATCCTGTATGTAATTGCTTTAGGTTCCTCAGAATATCTAAATTGCCATATTGTTGTAAGTCTTTTATCCTTTTTTGTTTGTTTCAACTGTTATCTCTATGTGAGTAACTCCCAAATCTTTTTCTCATGTCTGGCCTTTTCTTTTGAGTTTTAATTACCTATCAGGTATTTCTCATTGGATTTTCTGCCAATACTACAAATTTAGCATTTGTAAAATTAAACTCATTGTTTTCCTCTTCCTGACTCCCCTGTTTTATCAGAGATGTTACCTCTTTGCTCTTTTTTAAAAAAATTTTTTTAATAAAGTGAATTAAAATGAATTTTATTTGGGGAATTTCACGTCATGCCCTGAGATCATGGACAAACCTGGTCTTCGGAAATCAGATTTGGAATTCACTGCTCTATATTTGGAGTTATTAGTAGCATTTTCATAATAATACCTGTACTTATATTGTGATTTCACATATATCATTTCTTTACATTCTCTTAACCGCAGGGGATAGGCAAGCCAGCTGGCTATATCTCATTTCACAGGTGAGGCATGTTAAAGAAGGAAGGAAACTAACACATGTTGAGGATGCAAAAGGTGCCAGGCCTAGTCCCTGCTGGTAAATGATGGGAACTGGCCTTCCTCGTCCCAGTTGCTACTCTTCCTCAGCAACCCGGTTTGAAATAGTAATGTCATAGCATCTTAGAAGTGGGAAGCATCTTGGAGGTCTTGTAGTTTCGGACCATGCCAGGAATGATCTGTGGACCTGTGCCAGTCTGCAAACCATCTATTACTGCTCCACAACAAGATAAGTATGGAAACCATGAATAAGCTTTGAAAACTTTTGTAATGATGTAGCATCCAGGCGCACCTTTCCATATAGCTCACTTGAGAACCACTGATCTGGGCCATTCTTCCCTGCAGTAATAGCCTTTTCAAAAACAATTTTGGCAAGTGATTACCCACCCTAGCAGCTTTACTGTCCCTTAAAAGCTTGCTGATTCTCCTCTCTTTCCTTTTTTTTTTTTTTTTAAATAGAATGGCACTTCCGTTCTCCTAGTTTTGCAGATTCAAAGTCATTGAGTTATTATTGACTTTCTTATCCTTCATATCCAGTCACCAAATTGAGTTAATTCTTTTATGATAATAGCTCTTATGTCTTGTTCTTCCTAGTATTTCTGTGGCCTTTTACTTTCGGTCTCTCCCCTGTCTTTCAGTTGTTAGTTGACTCTGAAATCTGTATCTCTTTCCCTAAATGTACTCCAGTTTATCTTTTCCAATGGTTTTTCCACTGCTCCCTTTGATACCTCATTTGTACTTTATATTCCCTTAGTCTGAAATGTATTTCCTGCTCCAGAGCTGCACTTGCTCCTGTTCCCTGGTCTTTGCTGCTGGAAACTGTTGAGTGATAATTGTCGCTTCCATTTTCCTTGCCCAGTTGACAAAGTCTGGTTTTTATACGTGCAGATGACTGCTCGTCTTCTCCAGGCCTGCTGCTGCCACCGTGGTGTGGCTCCTTGTTATCTCTTATCTGTAGTTTTATAATCCTTTCCTCACTGCTCTGTTCTTCTGTCTCTTCCTGCATTTATATCGTCTGGCACTGCAATCTTTCTCATGCACAGCTCTCTTACTATTACCTATTTTCTTAAAACTCTCCAAGGTTCTTCATTGCCTGTGGAATAAAGGTGAAACTCTTTACTTTGGCGTTCAGGTTTAGAAAGTTTACCTTACCACTGTCCCACACCTTAGCCGAACCAAGCTACTTAGTACTTGCTGTTCCCCACCCTGCTCATCTCTGTATCTTGGAATATGTTGTTTTATCTTTGTGATGTACCCTTTGTTTCTCATCTTCAAATTCTACGCCTTCTTCAAGACTCAGTTCTATTGTCATTTCTACAAAGCTTCCGTCCAGTATTCTTTCTAGTGAACTTTTAATAGCACTTAATCTGTACTTCTCTTATGTTAATGATTGTTGTCTACTTCTTGTTAAAGATATTTATAGCACGTATGGCTCTACTAGAACTTAGAATTCCTAAATGAAGATCTTCTGTGGGACTTGGGGGGTACAATTCAAAATAAAGATTCATGGGTTCCATGGAAACGTGGTTGAGTAGATCTTGGAAATCTGAAATTTTATAAAACTCCCAGATATTTCTAATTTTAGGTCAAATATTTGAATCATTGGTCTGTCTGCCCCACAGTTTTAGTTGCTGATTTTATTCTCTTTGGAATTGCTTAACTTTGGGGATGCATTTATCTTGTCTAAATTGCATTGCAAACTCCATGAAATGTTTTGTTTCTCCTCTATAGTACTTAGCATAATAGACATGCAGCAAGTGTTGAATGTTGAATAAATGAAAAGATTGAAGTAAGATCCTTTAATTGGTATATCTGGTAGAATGTACTCGTATACTGAAGAGGACATGTTTCTTAGGACATATACTAAGCGGAAGTTTATAGAGTAGCCTGTTAATGGGCTGGCTGTTCTGAGGAAAAAGGAGGGATACACCTAAGAAGAGAAACCAAGCAATGATTTACAGAAGATCAGTAGGATAATGTATAGTTTATAGTGTCACAGGTGTGCTATTTATTTATGTTACAGTAGAAGAGAAAGCAGGTAAAATAACATGGGTCAGTTTTGAAGTCTAGTGTGCATTATTCCTAGCAGTAAAAAGTGAGCCCACGTTTGTTCCGTAGAAAGTAACCTTTCTCACCTCACTGATGGGACATTGCTAACTAAGTACAGCACTCTTTCTTGTTGAACCTAAATGTGCCCTCAGTATCCTTTTCAATGGAGCACTGCCACCCATCAATTGACATTAGCATAATGACAGAAAAAACCCTGGTATATGAAATGTTGTTTAAGATATCTCCTATAGTTAAAAAAAATAACCAAAACTGTAGAATGTTTGTGATCCCTACAATCAAAATTCTTCAAGAAAAAGGTAGTTAAAACCCAGTACATCTAAAAGGGCAGCTCTTTGATAATGCACTGTTGGAATTCACTGCTCTATTTCTGGTATGGCCTATCTTTTATGAAATTTTGCTGTATTTCCTCATAACTGCCATGCCATTTACTCAGACCTTTTTGTAAGTAAAGGTAAAGAAAATGTATTCTTCCCAAGAATTCCCAGTCATTTAATTTGGAAGACACTGGTTGTGGCATGCTAAGAAGGTTAAGCTTCTTAAAGCATTCGGTTGTCTCTATCCCCTTGCTTATTGATGAAACATTGTGCTTTTATTTTCAGCTGTTCTGGAATATTCTCTTCCTCTAACTTTGTTGCCTGCCTCCAAGTCTTAACCCCGTGCATCCAGTTACCCTTCTCCCCTGCTTCTCGCCATACGTAATCAGTTTTTCACTTCTTTCCCTGCTCCTTCCAGGTCTGATGACGATGACACGGAGAGTAGGAGCTCCAGGGTGACCCAACTTTGCACTTACTTTCAGCAGAAATATAAGCACCTCTGCCGCCTGGAGCGGGCAGAATCTCGTCAAAAGAAATGCCGGCATACGTTACGGAAAGCCTTGCTGCAGGCGGCTAGTAGAGAGCCAGAGTGTACCGGTCAGTTAATGCAAGAACTGCAGAGAGCTGCATGCACCCGAACCAGGTCAGAGCCCGACGCAGTCACCTGTTTCTAAGGAATTGTCTCCCTCTGCTTCTGTATCTTTTTTTTTTTTTTAGCTGAGCCATCCTGCTACCTGTTGGCAGCTCAGCGGCTGCTCAGCTCGGGCTGGACTCGAACCGCTGTTGCTCAGAG